CCTCATGTTGTGGTGATCCCCCAAACATAAAATTATTTTCATTGCTACTTTATAACTGTAATTTTGCTACTGTTATGAATCCTAATGTAAATATCTGTTTTTCGATGGTCTTAAGTGACCCCTATGAACGGGTTGTTCAACTCCCAAAGGGGTCACGACCCACAGGTTGAGAACTGCTGATTTAGAGGTTTCTCCTGGCGCCTAAGTTTGTAAGATAATCTGTTCACAATCATGCAAAGGCACTGTCCTCAGGGAGAAATGAGGCAGGGTTCAAGGCAGGGCAGGTCCTGATCTGAACAGCCAGGCTCCCAAGCAGGAGGGCCTGATATCTTAATAGTCAGCTACCTGAAAGCCACAGGCCTCCCTTGTATTCAAAAGAGAGACCACCGTGGTCTCTTATACACAGAAGGAAATAGAAATTTCATATATATATGAAAGAGAGAGATAGATTTATTATAAGGTGTTGGTTCCCCTGACTGTTGAGGTTAAGTCTCACAATCTGGTCTCTGCATGCTGGAGACTTACGAAATAGGAGAGCTGCTGGTATAATTTAAAACATGAAAGCCACAGAATTGATCGTGCAGATAGTGCGGAGGGTAGAAGGACAACGTTCCAGCTCAAGCAGTCAGGCAGAGAGCAAATGCAATCTTCCTTTGCCTTTTTGTTTTATTAAAGCTTTCAGTGGCTTGGATGAGGTTCGTCCACATTATGGAGGGCCATCTGCGTTACTCAGTTCCCCAATTCCTGAAAACATCCTCAGGGAAATACCCAGCTATCATGTTTAACCAGCTTTCTGGGCACCCTGTGGCCCACTCAATTGACACATAAGATTAAGCATCACAGATGGCAATAATATGAAGTATTTTTTAAAGCATCCTTCGTTATTGTTTTTTAAAATTCAATAAAAGTAAAGGAACTCCTTGTATTTCACACATTCATTCCAATTTCATAATTGATTTTATGTCAAAAGTGCCTGAGTTCTCTTCTGTTACCTGTTTGCATGAGATAGTTACAAATGGAGACTGATAGGTCTGTGCTACAAGTGTCATTACCTCTTCTCCTATTATTTTACACTAGAAGTCCAATGTGAAAAATTGTGCAGCCCCCCCCCACCCACCCCCCCACCCACCGCCCTGCTTTGACTCCCTGACCTCTCTACACAGCTCCAGTGTGCCTGGCCCAGCCCCCTGGCCCCTCTGGCCTTCTCTGGCTGCTTCAAGCCCCTCCCTTAGTCCCTCAAGTCTCCTCAGGCTGGTCCTGTCTTTTCCGGGTGCCTCCCTGTTTCCACCCCATCTCCAGAGCAACGCCCTGCTGAGCACAGGCAGGTAGCCTCCTCCTTAGTGGTAGGGACTGTAAAACCATTAGGACCAATTAGCACATTACCTCTTTATATTGTATAGATAGATGGTGACTCACTCTTTGGACTTGAAGACTCCAGTAAAGCCAAATAGGTGGCAGCTACATTGCTAGAAACTTTGATATAGGCTAAGGCCATGAAAATTATTCATTAAACTCTGGGCTCAGACCATTATAAGGAGTTTTATCTTCTTAAGAGTTTTGAAAAGCCTTGTCATTATATTTGCATACAAGGGCTAAAGAGTTTCTTGAAACCCATCAAAATGGAGCTTCACTGCTCTGAGAGACTTCACAAACTTTATTCTTTCACTAGAGGCCTGGTGCAAGAAATTTGTGCACGGGTAGGGTCCCTAGGCATGGCTGGTGATCAGGGCCGATCTGTGGGGTGACCGGAGGGGCAATTGGGAGGCCCTTGCTGACTCCTGCCTTGGCTGGCCTGGCGCCACCCACTCACCTGCCCCCCCCCCCCCCCCCCCCTCCCCACCAGTAACCTCTCTCTGCAGGGCACAGCAGGGTGACTGGGTGGAGATGGGTGGAAAGGGGACTGCTAGCACCTGCTTTGGCTGGCCTGGGACCTGTAGGCTGGGGGAAGCTCCTGTGTTGAGCATCTGCCCCCTGGTGGTCAGTGTATGTCATAGCAACCAATCATTCCGCCATTTGGTTGATTTGCATATTAGGCGTTTATTATGTAGGATACCCTCCAAGGATGGAATATCAACCCAATGTTTAAATATCCAATTCAAAGGAAGCCTTCTGAAGAAAATGTTTCCTTCTTCATCCTTCCCAAGTCTGGCTTAGAAATAGAAATTAGAATTAGTAATGGCTGCATTTATCTGGGGGCCAGAAGAAACTAGGCTTTCAAATTTGAGAATTCCAGAATATTAACAGATTTACCTCTATACATCTTGGTTCCCTTCAATGATCTTTTACTGTAAAATATGTAGGTTCTACAGATATAATCTATAATAATAATAATAATAATAATAATAATAATATGCTAATTAGACCAGACATCCTTCCAGATGAAGCTGGGGCTGTAAGGGAAGCCCAGGTCCTAGGTGCTGGAGGGAAGCCTGGGTCCTGGATGCCAGAGGGAAGCCAGTGCTGGCAGCTGAGGGAAGGAAGGCCTACACTTGCATGAACTTCATGCATCATGCCTCTAGTTCTCTAAATAAAAAAAATTGCAGTCCCTACTAATATCCTAACATCTTCATGGAGTCCCAACAACCAGCTCTCAATTCACAAGGATTTTCAGAAGAGGGGAAAAACTTGCTCTAACAATGATAAAAATTTAATTATAAGGTGAGTTGGAGATTATATGCACCACTTTTTATCCCCAAAGTAGAAAAGTGTATCCATTAACCAGGAAAAAAGTCATACTCACACCATTGCCCTGAGCTTTCTATGAGCCAGCCTTCTCCAGGAGAGGACAAGTCATCAGGTATTTATTAGGAGCCCTGTGTTAATTTGCAAGAAGAGGCCTCTAAGTTTTTCCTTTAAATAAAAAATAACCATAAATGGCATATTTGCCTCCATTTGAGGCAGGATGGGGGAATCAAGGAGGCAAACAATTCCCCATTTGCCCATCCAGATCCATTTTCTTCTGTTAGAGCAGTAAAGTAACTGATCAGACTGCAATGGAACATTTAAATGGGATATTGGGAGGGGCATTTTATACAGGACTTTTTCCGAAATGTGGGTGTAGAGAAATCCCAAGTGATGGAATAATATCCCGAAGTTGTTAAGAGCAGAAGCAAATCATAATCCTCTCAGCTTGAACAGGCAGGTGAAAAGACTGGGTCCCCACACCTCAGAAGGAGGAAGTCACATGGAGAGGATCACTAACATGAGCAGTGACCTTTGGTCAAAGGACCTTAACAACACTACAAGGAGGAAACTAAGAAAATAAATTATAGGCTCTTTATCTCCTCCAACCATCTAAAAGATAGCCAGCACTGCCCTTCCCTATCCTGCTCTGTACCCTGTACTCTGTACCCTGTGTCATCAGCCTTACCTACACATCTTTGTTTGATCCTTCTGGTGATTTAGCCAATGAAATTGGACTTCAGGAGGAGAAAGAAGTCAGGATTCATTTTTCATTTTCTGGCCATAGTTTGGGCAGTAGCTGAGTTCCCCTGTATAAGACCTCAGCTCCTATTGTGATAGGCACTTCTCACCTACACCAGAGAGGTGTTAACCAGATGGGACAGCCCCCTGAGCCTGTGGGAGAGGACTGTCCCCAACCTGGATTCTTGTCTTCTCATATAAATGAATGTATACGAGAGACCTTGACTATGTGGTAACAAGCAAACTTACTAAAGCAATTAAAGCATGCATCTTTATTGAAAAGAAAGTGACCGCAAGGCAAGCAAACCTACAACCTGGCTTGTGAAGTATAGACGGGCTCTCAGCTAATCTGAAGAGCAAGTTGGGTCTGAGGTGTTCTATACCCTCCTGTCTGTAGGCTTCAAAATTTCTCTGTTGACTATTTTGGTACAGATTAAATCTCAAAGTCCCCTTTTTTACCTTGTTGTGGCCATTCCAGAATTCACGAGAAGCACCCGACAGCTTTATTTTGCCAAGCCTTGAGAATGAAGGATTCTCTGCTTAGGGAGTAAAATTGCTTCTTTTTCCTTTCCCCTTTCTCCCTCCCTTTCTGCATTCTCTCAGGGAGGGTTTTTTTTGTTTGTTTTATGTGTGTGTGTGTGTGTGTGTGTGTGTGTGTGTGTGTGTGTGTCTGTGTGTGTTATACCATTTGCTCTGTGTCTTTGGGTGGGGAAGATAATGGCTTGCTAGTTACAAGCTGGCTGCCAATTGCCCTCACTGTTTGGCCTTATTTTTTTAACTTTCCTGCCTCTGTTTCCCTATTCCTCCTACCCTGGAATCTTGTAACACTATTAGGCAGCTCACATCCTTGGCTACAGCTCTTGCTGCTATAGTAACATGGTTCATGTTTGTCCCTTAAATCTTAGGAGAACAGCTTCCTTCTATGGGTCCCCAAGTTTGTCAACAGACTTTTTGGTCCCCATGAACCTGCCCAGATTTCTATAATTGGTCCTTCACTAATCTTCCTTCGATTAAACAGCTTAACACTGCCTTCTATTTTCTTCCAGGATCTTAAGTAATACAAGAATGCACAAAAGTATGCTTGCCCAGAATGAGTGGGATCAGCGTAAAGAGACTAAATCTTATAGGGATACTGGGTTCTCTCTAGGTGAAGAGAGATAATCCATTCTCAGTACTACCTTTCTCTAGCAAGAGAACTCTGAGCACCGCCAAGTTCCCCACTCCTGGAAGTGTTCAGAACTGACAGGGATGCCACAGAAGGGACGTGAACAGCATTTGATGGGTGAGAAGGGTTAAACTAGATACGCAGCCTCCATATCTATTTGTCTTTAGTTTCATATTCTCTTACTCTTGGCAGTCCTTTCTAAAACCAAGACAGGGGGTGTCTTATTTTGGTTCCCCCCAAAACAGACCTGATCAATTCCTGTGTGTTTCTCCCAAGGCACCAAGCAGAACCTTTTCTTCTCCACAGCTAACACTGACCCAAGTGAACTGCGATTGATTGGGTCCTTGTCAATTACAGGCAGTAAATGTGCGTGGGGAAATTGAGTTCTAGTCAGCTGCACATAGGAGAAGGACTTTGGATCTTTCAAATATACCAACCACCTGAAACCAGTGTGTTTGTTCTTTCTAGGGAAAGACAAGTTGCCTACAACAAGCCAGGGGGAAGAGAGGCGAGAGAGGCAGCCACTGGCAGAACAAAGTGAGTATACTTAACTTAAGGGTTTCTATCTGTAGCTCAGGGATGCTGATAAGGTTTTCTTGCCACATTACACTTTCAGTAACTCTGGATGTGGATAAGAGCCCATGGCAGGTTTCATTGTACTAGCTTTTGGGGGTCTGTTCCAAAACAAAGAGAAAGAAAAATTCAGTCTGATTAGTCACTTTGCTCTCAAGCTTGTACTACCTTTGGGGGGTCTGTTCCAAAAAAGAGAGAGAGAGAGAGAGAGAGAGAGAGAGAGAGAGAGAGAGAGAGAGAGAGAGAGAGAGAGAGAGAGAGAGAGAAATTCAGTCTGATTAGTTACTTTGCATTCAGTCTTGTCCCTGATCAGGGACCCCAGCCATGACATGTCAGACTTCTGACCTACAAAGAGGTGAGCTAATAAATGAATTCTTTTTGAAGCTATCAATACTTAGTTTCTAATTTCTAGTACAAAGTGTTATTCTTTAGGAAAAATCAGGAAGACTTTTCGACCAGAGAAATTGTTCAGATTCTCTGCTTCATTAGAATTGGAAATTTAGTTGCTTCCAGGTATGTTACTACAATTTGCTTTAACCTTTTCTCTATAAAGTTCCTGCATGAAACAAGAGTTCTTTGTCTTTAGTTACCTTTTCTATAATATAAGAAAAGAGTAGTACTATATCAAATCCCCCACAGAGTTATGAAAATTAGGGGTTATGTGTATAAAGACCTGTGAGAGCAGCTTAGAAACAAACTATAGTGAAAGTGATGTGATATGAAGTTACTTATTAGATACTCAGTTACTTATCAGATAGCTTTTATTCTACCTAATAAAAGAGTAATATGCTAATTAGACCAGACATCCTTCTGAATATCTTTCCGTCCAGATGAAGCTGCGGTGGACAGAGGCAGAGGCAGAGGCCCCTGGCTGTGGCAGGTGGGAGGCCGGGGCCAAGGTCCTTGCACGAATTTCTCACATTGGGCCTCTAGTAACTACTGAATATTGTCACTGTTGTTTAGGATCTTAGACTCTTATAGAGGGGGTAAAGTATTTTAGTAAATATATGTATATCAGTTTATGGTATTGAGGAGAAAATGCAAGTAGTGTCTGAAGAAAACGAAAATCCTATATAATAAAAGCTTAATATGCTAAGTGTCTGGCCATCTATTCAACCAATCAAAGTGTAATGTGCTAATAATATGCTAAGGTCACTCAACCATTCACTATGATATGCACTGACCACCAGGGTAAGATGCTCTAACTGGTACATTAGCTTGCTGCTGGGGTCTAGCTGATCAGGACTGAGCAACACAGGTAGAACATGCCCTGGAGCCCTCCCTGGCTGGCCAACCTCCCTCATCCCTCCTTGGTCCGGATCATGCACAGGTGGAGTCCCTCAGCCTGGCCTGCGCCCTCTCGCATTCCAGGACCACTCAGGGGGATGTTGGAAAACCAGTTTTGGCCTGATCCCACAGGCCAGGCCAAGGGACCCCACTGGTGCACAAATTTGTGCTTTGGGCCTCTAGTAGATTATAAATATCTCCTGATATAAAGAATGCACTCTCTCAGGTCGGATACTCAATTCTGTGTGATAAGTCATGTTAGAATGTTCTACAACTGAGAGCCCTACCAACATGGCTTATCAGCAGAAATTCCAACTTCTTGAGTATTTCTGAGGATGTACTGTACCATCAAATCTATTTCTGATCTGCTGCATAAATGACTCACTGGGATTCCATGAGTCATTACCTCTATCTAAAGTTTATTTAAAAGCTGCTTCTGGGTGTATTAGTACAATTCACTTTCTTTTTCTCTAAATTGCCTGCATGAAACAAGAGTTCTGAATTCAAATGAAATGCACAGTGGAATGAGAAAAGTAAAATTAACTTACTTTGTATCTAAAAAAAAAAAAAAAGGAAGAAGAAGAAGAAGAAGAAGAAGAAGAAGAAGGAGAAAAGACATTTTAAAAACCATACCAGAATTCACAAGTGACCTAGAACATTGAGCAGCATGAGCCCCTCAGTAAATATACTCAGCCCAGGCAATGGGCTTCCTTGGAGGATAAGGATCTCTCCACTTAATGAATATTTACGTGACTGGGAACTTTTATGTCCACACTCCCAGCCTCAGGGTACTTTTGCAGAAATTGAGAAAATCTGACTCACTGTTCTCCAGGAGACTCTAGCTCTGCAATGTTTAAATACCCTGCTAAGCTTGATGAGAGATACAAAAACGCCCTCTGTAGTGCTCATCACGTTAGCCTTTAGTTTTCTCACGTTAAACTGGGTTGGTGTGAGGATTCAGGATATATTTGTTTTGTTTATTTGTTAATTAAAAATTTTATACAATTAATCGGGGTGACATTGGTTAATAACATTATGTAGTTTCAGGGATACATTTTTACATCTTCTGTATATTGTATGGTTAGCACCTCAACTTTCCTTCCATCATCATTTATCTCCATTTTACCCTCTACTACCTCCCTCCCTCCCGACTTCCCTCTGGCAGTCTCCATACTGCGTCTATGCCAAGAAGTCTTTCTTTCTCCTCTTTGCTTAACCCCTTCACCAATCTCATTCAGCCTTGTAGTGCGGTTTGATATCATAATTCCTCTAATTTTGTTCTTCTTTCTCAAGATTAATGTGGTTCATTTGGGGTTTTTGTGGTTCCATTTAAATTTTTGCAGTGTTTATTCTAGGTCTGTGAAATATGCTGTTGGTGTTTTAATAAGAATTGCATTGAATCTGGAGATTGCTTTGGGTAGTATGAACATTTTAATGATGTTGATTCTACCAATCTGTGAAGTGGTATATTTTTCCACTTGTTTATATCTTCCTCTATCTCATTTATTAAAATCCTATAGTTTTTTGTGTACAGATCTTTTATCTCCTTGGTTAAGTTTATTCCTAAATATATTTTTTGTTGCAATGGTAAACTGGGTTTGTTTTTGTTGTTTTTTTAGTTTCTCTTTCTGAAAGTTCATTATCCTATATAATAAAAACCTAATGTGCTCAGTGTTCAGTCAAATGGTTGGCTGTTTAACCAATCAAAGCATAATATGTTAATGATAAGCCAAGGCCACTCAACCACTCGATATTACATGCACTGACCACCAGGGGGAAAACACTCCAACCAGTAGATGTGCTAGCTGCTGGGGTCCAGTCCATTGGGATGGAGTGAGACAAGCCAGACACCCTTCTGTGGTCCCTCCCCAGCTGACCAACCTCCTGTGTCCTTCCCTGGACCCAATTGTGCACCCTCGGCCTGGCTTGCACCCTCGCACAATCTAGGACCACTCAGGGGATATTGGAGAGCTGGTTTTGGCCCGATCTCGCAGACCAGGCCAAGGTCCCCCACTGGTGCACCACTGGGCCTCTAATTGGTATATAAAAATGCCATGGATTTGGGGGTGTTAATTTTGTAATCTGCTACGTTCCAAATTCATTTAAGTCTAGTAGCTTTTTGGTGGAGTCATTAGGTTTTTCTATGTACAGTATCATGTCACCTAGGAATCATGAGAGTTTTCTTTCTTTCCAATTTGGATGCCCTTTTATTACTTCTTCTTTTCTGATCACTGTGGCTAGCACTTCCAGTGCTATATTGAATAAACATGGTGAAAGCAGACATCCCTGTGTTTCTGATCTGAGGGAAAACGCTTTTAGTTTTTGCTCACTGAGTATGATGTTGGCTATGGGTTTGTCATAGATGGCCTGTATTATGTTGAGATATGTTCTCTCTATTCTCACTTTGCTGAGAGTTTTTATCATAAATGGGTACTGGATTTTATCAAATGCTTTTTGTGTGTTTACTGATATGATCATGTTGTTTATGTGGTATACCACATTTATTGATTTGTGGATATTGTACTTACTTTGACCCCTGGAATAAATCCCACTTGAACATGGTGTATGATCTTTTTAATGTATTGCTGGATCTGTTTTACAATGCTTTACTGAGATTTTAACATCTATGCTCATCAGTGATATTTACCTATTGTTTTCTTGCTTTGTAGTGTCTTTATATGAACTTGGAATTAAGGTAATGCTGGCTCTTAAAATGAGCTTAGGGGGTCTTACTTCCTCTTGAATTTTTTGGCATAATTTAAGAAAACTAGGTGTAACTTCTTTGAATGTTTGAGAAAATTCACCTGCGAAGCCCAGCAGGTTCAGGACTTCGGTTTGTTGGGATTTTTTATTTTATTTTATTACTGCCTCAATTTCACTGGTTGTGATCTGTCTACTAAGATTATCTGATTCTTCCTGATTCCATTTTTGAAAATTATACATGTCTGGGAGAGTGTCTAATTTGTTGGCATATAGTTGTTCATAATATGTTCTTATAATTCTTTGTATTTCTTTTGTGTTAGTTGGTTCTCCTCTTTCATGTCTGATTTTATTTATTTGGGTTCTCTCTCTCTCTCTCTCTCTCTCTCTCTCTCTCTCTCTCTCTCTCTCTCTCTCTCTCAATATGTTCTTATTGATTTCAGAGAGGAAGGAAGAGGGAAAAAAAGATAGAAACATCAATGATGAGAGAGAATCATTTATCGGCTGCCTCTTGCATGGCCCCTACTGGGGATTGAGCCTGCAACCCGGGCATGTGCCCTTAACTGGAATTGAACCCGGAACCTTTCAGTCCACAGGTGGATTCTCTAGCCACTGCCACTGAGACAAACCAGCTACGGCCTCGCTCTTTTTTTTCTTGAGGAGTCTACTTAAAGATTTGTTGATCTTTATATTTTCACAGAACCTGCTCTTGGTTTCATTGATCTTTTGTATTTTTTTTCCTGAGTCCATTTATTTCACCTCTTGTTTTTATTATTTCCATCCTGTCCTTCTACTCACTTTGGGCTTTGCTTGTTCCTTTTTCAGTTTCTTAAGTGTAAAATTAGCTTGTTTACTTGAGATTTTCATTGTTTCTTGAAGTAGGCCTGTAATGTTATAGATTTTGCTCCTAGGACTGTTTTCCTTGTGTCCCATAGATTTTTGATTTTTGTGTTCTCATTTTCATTTTTTTTCAATGTATCTTTTTATTCCTTTCTTGATCTCATTGTTAACCCATTCATTGTTTAGTAACACATTATTTAGCCTTCATATCTTTGTGTATTTTCCAGTTGTTTTCTTGTGATTGATTTTTGAAAGTGCTCTCTAACTGCTATCTAATATCTCTAAAAAAGAACTAATAAACTCATAGGGAAATGAGATGCTCATCTTTTCAATATAAATATTAGTGCACATGTGAGAGATGACTCTTATTGCTTTTATTTTTTTAGCAGCATGAATTCAATGACTTCAGCAGACCCCAGGGCCAATACTGTGTTTGTGGCAGCACCCCACAACAGACATCCTGTGATCCCTGGAAACATGTCTCAGGTGCCCCAATATCCACTCAATCAGCCCCAAGTCCACATAATTTCTGGGAATCCACCTGGTTTGGAGCCGCCTGTATATACGCAATTTGACCAGAGATCCTTTAAAGAGGGCAAAGTATTAGGGGTAAGTGAGATTTCACACTGCATGCACTGGCCATGTGGCTGGAGTCAAGGGGTGGGAGGTGGTTTGGAAACACAAAACCTCCAAATTCTGCAGGTGGGCCTGGAGCTGGCCCAGCCTTGCCAAACTCAGGTCTATTAAGAAGCTCAGCTCTAGAGCATCACCAGGGCTTCTGGGTGGGACTTTGTTTTATCTATCTTGGGCATTTTAGGAAAGAGAAAGAAAAGCAACAAAGAATCAATAAATTGGAATATTGGTCCTATTGCCAGAATTCATGTTGACCCATGCGGCCTCTGGAAGAAGTGTGTCCAGCTATACAGAATGTGGATCCTAAGCCCAGTTTGTTTGAATGGAATCTTTTTCCAATGGGAGCAAGATAAGAGCTCTCGCTGATGTTCCCCAAAATGGCTGTCCTATGTAGGAAAGGGGATGCCCATTTCATTGCATGGTTGAATGATGACCATGGGTTCTGATCTAGGATGCTCAGGTTGAAATCCTAACTCCACCCCCATATACTGCTCATAGTAATGTCAAGTGATATGAAAATAGCCAATAATTCCATTTGTGAGACTTTGTCTTGCAGCCATGACTATACACACAAGAAATATGACATGTATGCATTTGTTTTGTTTTGTTTTTTCTTTTTTATCAAAGCATGTCTTGTGATAGAAAAAGAACAAAAATAACTGAAATACCCATCAATGTAATACTGGTTAAATCAATGTATTGTACATACAAAGAATGTATTGTACATACAAAGAATGAAATGTGGAGGTTAACAATGATATGGACATACCCACAAGCTATATAATTAATGGCGGGTGGGCTAAGAGCAGACATAGTGTGTAATTTGCTACCATTTGTAATTCTTTGAGTCGGGGGAAATTATGGCAAGTTTTATTTATATATTATTCATATAACTTTTTAGACCAAGAAAAGAAAATATTTTTAAAACTAAAAATGAAGCAAAAGCAGTGCAAGGGGTGTGAACTGTGGGCAGGATCCAGTTTCAGAAACAAATTTCTCAACCTCTGGCTTTCCTGACAGGCCTTGCAGATACTGATCGGCCTGATACACATTGGCCTGGGCGGCATCCTGGGGACCCTCATCGCTGGGCGCTACACTTCTATCTCATTCATAGGAGGCTATCCCTTCTGGGGAGGTATCTGGGTAAGTAATGTGAGTTGCCCTGCAAGTGAGTTCCAGAAAGTGTCAATACTCAGAGGCCCACCTTGGCAAGTTGTGTACTTTGCTGCAGAAGTTTTCCAGCAATAGAGCACGTGGCTGTGAACCCAGCTCCCGCTTTATTCACCAAGAACGTTAGTCCACTTGGACAGCCAGAACAAATACCACAGACTGGGTGACTAAGCAACATATTTTAAATATCTCACTATCTCACTAGATGCCCAGCGCACAAAGTTGTGCGGGTAGGGTCCCTGGGGCCTAGCCTGCTGCGGTCAGGGTCATCTTCTGATCGTTTGCCAGTCCCTAGGCCGAATGCCACCTCCATTGCCAGGCTGTCTGACCGTTGGGGTCAGCAGCTCATCCCCAGCTGCTCTGGGGCTCAGGCCTGGAGGAAAGCAGGTGTTGGTGACTTCACCTCCATAAGCTGCCGGCCATTGATGGAAAACGCTGCCCCTTCTGGGCCGCTCACACCGGGGTGGGTAGGTCGCTGGTGTGATCTGCAGCTTCAGTCAGTGCCTCAAGCCCCAGCAGCAGCAGCAGCAGCAGTGGCGGTGATGGCACCCAGGTGAGTGGCCCTGAGCAGGCAGCTTGTTCGATCAGTGACCAGCCTGCCACACGCACATGGAGGTGAAGTCACCGGTGCCTGCTTTCTCACAGGCCTGAGCTCCCGAGCAGCTGAGGATGAACTGGTGATTCCAATGGCCTGGCAGCCAGCCCGGTCATCCTGCCACCCACCTCAATTCCCCTGTTCACCATTAATGATCCATCAGAGCCTGGGGGCTCGGAGCAGGGACTAAGAGGTCAGCCTTTCAGCCCGCTTGCCAGTCTCCAGTCTCACGCTGCCCCGCTCGGGCAGTAGGGACCAAGAGGTGACCAGTCCTTTGGTGGTGACAGTCATCATGGACACTAGCTTTTTATATACATAGGCCGTTCTGGATGCTGGAAGTCCAAGATCAAGGTGTGGGAAGGGTTGTTTCTCCTGAGGCCTCTTTCCTTGGCTTGTAAATGACTGTCTTCCTCCCTGTGTTTTCACATGGCCTTCCCTCTGTGTCTGTCTGTGTCCTCATAGCTCTTCTTATAAGAACATCGGTTATATTGGGTTAGAACCAACCTGTATGACCTCATTTAACCATAATCACCTCTTTAAAGGCCCTATCTTCAATGCTCCTCAACTTATGATGGGGTTACATTCCCAAAACCTCATCATAAATTGAAAATATCCTGCATCAAAAGTGCCTTAAATTCTACACTGTAGAGAATGGATTGTTTACCCTCATGATTGTGTGGCTGACAGGGAGCTGAGGCTGGCTACTTCTGTGTAGCATCACCAGAGAGTACCTTAGCGCATATAACTCACCCAGGAAAAAATCAAAATTCAAGATCCAAAGAACAGCTTCTACTGAATGCATATCATTTTCACACCATTGTAAAGGGGAAAAAAAGTCCAACTATAGTGAGTCTGGAAACAACTATAGATACATTCACATTTGGACGTCCTGGGTGTTAGGACCTCAAAAGATGGATTACCAGGAGACAAAATTCAGCTCATCCACCAAGTGACGGCCCTGTAAGGCGTCATTGTCCCACAGTGGGCACTTTTCCTAATGAGCCCAACTCGGAGGTCAGGAAACCTTTTCCTACTCCATCAGCCAAGCGCTCACACGCTCTTCAACGCAAGCCCAGGGCTAGACCTCCAGAAGATAAATGTTTCCATCAGGAGTTTAGAGTGGCTGCCCAGCAACAAAACAGTCATTAAAATTAAACACTAGGACTCAACCTGGAATCTACAGATTAATATTTTGCAGTAGCATTAGATTTTTTTCTTCTGGAAAAGCCCATAGTTTTTTATCACATTCTCAGGATTACCTGGAACCCCTTAAAAGGTTAAGAACCTCCCTAACCAGTTTGGTTCAGTGGCTAGAGCATTGGCCTGTGGACTGAAGAGTCCCAGGTTCAATTCCGGTCAAGGGCATGTACCTTGGTTGGGATGTTCAGGAGGCAGCTGATTGATGTTTCTCTCTCATTGATGTTTCTAACCTTCTATCCTTCTCCCTTCCTCTCTGTAAAAAATCAATTTTATATATATATATATATATATATATATATATATATATATATATATTTTTTTTTTTTTTTTTTTTAAAGGTTAAGAACCACAGGTCCTTTCTCTTCTCCAATGTATTGACTTTATGGTCCTTTTACATTCTTCCTAGCGCCCTCCTTTACACACACACACACACACACACACAAACACTCAATCTCTCCTCCTCCCCTCTCACCACCCATCTCCTTTTCTCCCTGCTATAATGTAGTCTGTTTCTCAACTTGAACACTTATCTGTGATTCAAAACAACTTTTCTCAACAATAGTAAAACTCCAGCCTGAGCTGGGTTATTCAATGGTTAGAGCAGTACTCTGGAACTGAAAGGTTTCAGGTCCATTTCCGGTCAAGGACACACCTCCACCTGCAAGTGGGGCCCGTGCGGGAGGCAACCAATCCATGTTTCTCTCTCTTTCTGTCTCTCCCCCTGGCTTCCACTTTGTAGAAATCAATGGAAAAAATATCCTAGGATAAGGATTAGCAATAACAACAAAAAGACAAGTATTAAAACTCCAAAGTAACCTGCACACGAACCCAAGTCACGGTACACCATGAGAATTAAATAAAAGTGCCTATAACTATCTGCCACCTTCACGCTCACATAGCATCTGCAAAATGGCAGGGCTCATGTTCTTGGGGGCACTGTTGTCCACATACCTCCTCTCTTGTCTCATCTTCTGAGGCTGAGTTCTTCTCTGTGTCCTGCATAGACCCAGATTTGCAGCTCAGCCAACCACAGATACTTGTGTATATAACATATTTCAGTGGAGTTTGGGGTCAATGGAGAAGACTAACACCACAGCCACAAAACAGTTTCTTACTGCATACCACTTCAGTGTTCAATTCCCTTCAGGCACCTCAAATGCCTTCCTGGCCATCTCCCCTTCACCAGGCTGCTCAGGTCCCATCAGCCCTCATGACACCACTCTCCCTTTGTTCTGCAAGGCACTTTTCCCTTTTGTTGCCTTCTTTTTAAAAAATTTATTTATTTTTTATTGCAGAGAGAGAGGAAGAGAAACATTAATGTGAGAGAAACATCAGTCGGCTGCCTCCCGCACACCCCTATTGGGGATTGAGCATTTAATCTGGGCATGGGCTCTGAGGAGGAATCTACCCAGCAACATTTTGGTGTAGGGGACAATGCTCAACCAACTGAGCCACACTGGCCAAGGCCTTTGTTGCCTTCTTGACTCCATGACTATCTATTTCCTAAAGATCATAAAGGTCCTCCTCAAAACCAAAGGCTCGTCTCCTCAAAAGGATCAGAAGGGATATTAGAAGTCCAGCTTTCTGTTTCCGTTCTTCTGCATCATGTCTGTATAAAAATAAGGACGTAATATTGATATGTATTTTTCCACTTATGAGAACATGGCATTCCTCTTACAAGGCACAGGTGGCTAGAGTTAGTTATCATTGTGACCATCCATTTCCATCCCAAGGCACATGCATCTACCCTGAGCTGGAGTAAGTACAGAATGAGGATTAAGAACATGAGATCTGGAGTCAACCACCTGGATTTGATTCCAAGATAAGCTATTTGCTGAATGATCTTAGATGAGTTATTCAAAATCTCTAAGCTTCAGTCCACCCTTCTATAAAATGGGAATAATGATGATGCTTGATGGACCATTGTGCAGTTAAGGAAGGCAAAGTTAAAAGAGCACTTCATGTAGGGCTCAGAAAAGCTTCCATTACTAGGGGTGTCGAACTCAATCAGTGAAGGGGCCAAAATCTAAAATCCAGCCTAAATCACGGGCCGAATGGTTTACTGAACAGTCATAAACTGTCATTGTGATGGAAACGCAGCGGAGTGCAGTGATGACAGCGCGGTGCGGGCCACATTGCCTGGCGGGATGGATTTGGCCCGCGGGCCTTGTGTTTGACACATGTGCATTAAACCATAGCTGATGTCCTCTCAGACTCTCGCTGACAGCAGGGAATCCCATTACCACTATGCCTGCACATCATCAGTGTTGAAATAAATGCACACAATCTACCCTGTAGCCCTCATAGTTGATCTTGGGCATCATAAAGATGCAACATTTTTCTGATTAACTAAAAGGTACTCACCAAATTGTAGACAGGTAAGGACTGATGTTGGGCTTCTATCTAAAAGCAGTGAAAATACGGAACCCTTTCCTTCTTCCCTCAAGAGCTCCCATGCCTGAGTGAACCCTTTCAGGAGGCCAACAAGATGTGCATGTGGGAAGATAAAAGGCAAGAAAAGGAGCAATTTTATTGAGTATCTACCATGTACAGGATCTACCATGGGCAAGATATACCAAATGCTAGATGTAAGGGACTGATTATCTCAATAACAATTAGGAAGACAAATAGTTTTTCCAATTTTTTTAAAGATGAGCTATACACTTAGAGAAATTAATAACTTACTCAAGATCACTTGAGTTTCAAGTTAAAGTTTAAAACCAGGTGCACTGGATTCTAAAATACATATTTATCTCACTGCCCTATGAGGGGTGCAAAACAGTCTTTTCTCCCTCCCTCCCTCCCTCCCTTCCTCCCTTTCTTCTTTTTTTCCTTCCTTCCCTACTTCTCTTCTCTCTCTCTCTCTCTCCCCTCAGTTGAGTGGGAGATCCTATTCGAGGATCCTAGCATGTATGAGAGAATATATGTGTGACCAGAAACAAAGAAGCCTGAAGGTGGGGTCCTAAACCAATCTCTTTCTAAACGCCCTCTCTTCTGTGCCAGTTCATCATTGCAGGATCCCTCACAGTAGCATCAGACAACGAACCGAGAAATTCTTGCCTGGTAAGTCCCATCCTGAGACAGGCTCTCTGAACTGTGGACCTTTAGGAGAGACATATAATGGGGGAAAGAAACCCACAAACAATGCCTCCCTCATCCTTGCACCTACTTATAGCCAGACATAGGGTGTTGACACACAGGCTCACTTACAGGACCTCATGGACCTGGCCAGAGTCACAATTGAGAAAGAATTCAAGAGACTCGGGGAAAGGAAGGACAACAACCAACTTGTTTAGGCATCAGGGTGCGGAAAGACAGAGACAATAACCTTCCTAAGATCTTACAAGAGGAGGCAGAAAGCTACCTGGGGTGCAGGCCTCCCCTCCAGCAGAGCAGGCACTGGCTGCATGCAGCACACAGAGCCCAGTTCCAGCATTTCTACAGGGAGGCCAGGGGAGGGTCACATGGCAGCTTCCCTGAGGAATCCTGCCAAATAATCAACGTGAATCAACGTGAGCAAGGCTTGGTGGTCCTTAAGCTTTAGACCAAGAAAGTACCTTGGCTTCTCTCACAAGCAGGTTATCTGGGCCCCAGAATGAACAAGCCCCAAACCAGCTGAGATCTATTTTTAAATGCCTTTCTGCACATTTACCAGAATTTTGGAGCATCAGAGCCTGTCATATCCCAAGACACTTGGGTTAAGTTTTCTGCCCATCTCTTGAGGGATAAATGGGTCAAGTGTTCCCCAAAGTTTATTCTTGGGGACATTTGTCCCCTGAGACACTTTATGAAGATATGAAGATGGTTAGATAAACTTGGGGGGTGGGGGTGGAAATCTCTATTTAGTAGTCCACTTCTGGAAGATCCAGAATCCAAGTTATAGGCTCTGAGAAGTCCTGCACAAAATACCTGTTGAACATTTTTTCATCCCAGCTGTTTTCAAAGCTAATTTACCACCATTTCAATTTTTTTTGCATAGTACACCTCTTGCTCCAGAACTAGGATTCTGGGGATTCACATTAAGGATCACACGTTTAATCTATTGTCAGCTCAACTACAACCACTTTTCTCTCACACCCTGACCGTCTGTATCTTCTTCAGCTGAATGGCAGCTTGGGCTTGAACATCATCAGTGCAATCAGTTCTTTGGTTGGAATCATGCTGTTCATCGCAGAGCTGATTGTCAACCCCCTGGATTACTACTATCCCATCTACATTTCCTGGGGTTTGGTGAGTATCCCTCTTGACCAAAGCTCCTTTGGGTTCCAACGTAGCTATGTTTAGGAAATCATGGAAAGGGCCTGACCACCAAGCTTCTTCACCAAGCACCAAAGAAAACAGAGGTGTTATTAGAATCAGAACAGAGTTTCACGTGTGTAGCTTTATTGCTATTACTCTAAGCATGTGACTTCTTAGCCTTGGTTTCTATCTTTATAAAACAGTACCATCAGTAGATAGTGGATAAAAAAGTTGGGATACATTTACACCGTGGAATACTATGCAGCTGGAAAAAAAAAAAAAAAAGGAAGGATCTCTTAGCCTTTGAGACAGCCTGGAGGAACCTGGAGAGCATTATGCTACCACATGTGTCAAACACAAGGCCCGCGGGCCAAATCCGTCCCGCCAGGCCTTGCAATGTGGCCCGCACCGCGCTGTCATCACTGCACACCGCTGCGTTTCCATCACAATGACAGTTTATGACTGTTCAGTAAACCATTCGGCCCGCGATTTAGGCTGGATTTTAGATTTTGGCCCCTTCTCTGATTGAGTTCGACACCCCTATGCTAAGCGAAATAATACAGTCAGAGAAAGACAAGTATTGCTTGATCTCACTCATATGTGGAATTTAATGCACTAAGTAAGCTATTGAACAAAATAGATCTAGAGACATAGAAGCATAGAACAGACTGTCGAATCTCAGAAGGAAGCAAAGGTTGGTGGATTGGTGGGTGGGAAGAGATCAATCAAAGAACTTGTTTGCATAGACAAGTTCTATGTATAACCCATGGGTACAGACAAAGGGTGGTGGAGGCCGGGGTTAGGGGCAGGCTCTAAGCAGTCAATTAAAAAAAAAAAAAAGGCATATGTAATACTTTCAACAATGAAGCTTTTTTAAAAAAAGAAAAGGAAAATACAGTTCCTACTTTATGACATTGTTGGGAGAATTAGAAGCAGTTATACAGATAATGCACCGTACCCACCAGGCTTCACCTCTACTAAATACTTGCCTTCTTGCCCATTTATTTAGGAACGAATGTTTGTTGTTAAAAATACATTGGAAAAGGACCAGTTTCATTTGCAAAGGGCCCTTCTCCCTAAGCTTCTGTGATTCCTTGATTAAGACATCATCGTCCTGCTATGGCCTTGCCTGGACATATATGTCCAAACCCACATCTTCCATTGAGGAACTCTCTCTCCTTAGTGCCTTGAGACACTATTTTTGTGTCTAACCATGTCTGATTTGAATTATAATTATCTACATCATTTCTGCCATTCTCACTACATTGTGCCTCTCAGGATGCTTTCTTAGCCATTCGTAGCAAACAGATGTTTAATAAATGCTTACTAAATAGGGAGGGAAGAAACAGAAAGTGAACAAAAGGGGTCTTTCCATAAGAGAATTCTCTGAGCAGCCAGCTATCACCAAGGCCATGTTAAAAATCATAATTGACAAATATTTGTTTGGGACCTACCATGTGCCATGCACTTTCACTTTCACATTTATTTTCTCATGTAATTGGAATCCAAATGGTTATTGGGGTCACTCATCTCTTGTCCTTTTATGATTAAAGTGGGTTCTACCCAAACTCTCTCCCCAGATACTGTGAGAGACCCTATTTTCCTGAGCATTGCTGGAGAACAGCATCTAATTCTCCCAACAATGTCATAACATAGGAACTGTATTTTCCTTTTTTTTAAGCTTCGTTGTTGAAAGTATTACATATGCCTTTTTTTTCCGTTGACTGCTTAGAGCCTGCCCCCACCCTTGGACTCCACCACCCTGTGCCCATGGGTTATACATATGTTATACATATATGCAAACAAGTTCTTTGATTGATCTCTTCCCACTCAACCACCCACCCACCCACCGATCTTTGCCTTCCCTCTCCGTGGCTTGTTCTTACTCCCAAATTTCTCTTCACTTCCTACACAGAACAGTTTCACTGGTTCACTCTCTCACTCCAAACCCCATCCTTAGGTCTCGTGCCCTGTACCTAAAACAAGTCACCACGGTGTTTCCATAAACAATGTTTCCCTTAGAAGAACACGGGTCATAAGTGTTAAAATAATTCTTATGCAAGGACACTTGACCATCACAAAACCTGGGGAGATCATTTCTCCATGATGCTGAGACGAGATGAGAGGTCTTCCTCAAAGCCCTAGCCCCGGTCCATTGCAGAGCCATGTTCTGGGCCAGACCTCGCACTCCCAGGACAGCCCTTGTGACCTCCGTGTTCCGTCTGATTCTAGGTCCCTGGAAGAGGTACTACTGCTGTGCTGCTCATCTTTAGCCTCCTGGAGTTCTCCATTGCCTGCACGGCTGCCCATTTTGGCTGCCAACTACTCCGCCAGGCACAGAACAGAGTGAGTCTGTGGGCTCTTCACAGGGTGTAAACATGCCCCCAAAGAGCGTGGGGACCCAAGGGGCCTGCAGGTTCCCCTTCCTGCCCAGAAGGTCTAAAGGCCTTTTTACATACACGGTTCTCACTAATGCACCTCCTGTGCCTGTCTTTTCCAGGGACCGGTGGTCTTCCAAACCGCCTACGCCAATCCAGGACTGGTGAACTCGCCACCATATCATGTCAATGTGGTCCAGGCCTCCAGATAAGCCAAAAGTTCTAGAAGCATCTTTCACTGGGACCAACAGAAGAACCTCCCCTTTCTAGGCTTCTGAAATTCAGCTCCTTCCTTCCCTGACAAACTAAGGAATGTGTTTCCCCCAACTGTTGGCACCCTTGACTTCATTCTCTTCAGCCTGTAAATCATGCTGTTCCTCTGTTTAAAAAGGAGATGGGACTTTGAGGTGGATTTGAGCAAAGAGGTCCTCCCTAGGACACCAACTTGTGGGACGTCCAGTGCGCATATCTATTTACTTACCTGTGTGAGGTTATGAATTAGTGGATCCAATGTCTTAGACAGCCCCAGCTTCACCCTCCCAATCATTCACGCACTGAATAAAAGTGCCCTGCGCATTTGATATGTTCCAGCCTCTCTCTTCATGGCAGGAGGGGGGTGGGGTGAACGTGAGTGAACACACAAAGTCCTGGAATGTGTAAACCGTTTGCTCCTAAGTGTCCTTGTCTAAGGAAGATGAAACCTTGTGACTCATTAGCTGGCTGTAAATTACTGAAACCGTTTGGCTTTAATTATTTAGTCTCAGTTTCCCTTATCCCACCTGTCAAGGAATTTCTCTATTCTAGCTTCCTACTACCCTGCCTCAATATTTACCAAGTTATTCTGCTCAATGCCCTTTGACTTGCATTATCTCATTTCATAGCCAAACATCACAGAGTGGCATTGTCTGTGTCTTAAGAACAAGGAATATGAAAAATCTGGGACTCAGAAAGGCTAGGTAACTTCCCCAAGTCCATACAACTAGGAATTGTGGAAGCTGGATTTGAATCCATGTTCTCTACTTCCATATTCCATGCTATTGACCACCTCCTCTTGTCATATCTATTTTCTTCATGGCCACAGGGGGCACCAGGACCAATGAGCCTGCTGCACGGTGAGCCTTGGAGAGCAGTGAAAAGACCTGGGTGCAGGGTGTGAATTGGAGTGCAACACGGAAATGAGTAGGACCCCCTCAGACGTGCACTGGGCCATGAGGGAGATAGGGGGCATTAGAAAGGACAGCATGGCTCACTGGAAAAGGAACGTAAGTTCCCAAACACTGGCACGCCATGAAGCCAGGAAAGGACTAGAGGAGAGCATTCATGGGTGGAGAACCAGTTCGAGAAAAGGCTGCTTTCGGCAAGAAAATGTAGAGCATGGGAGGGGAGACTGTTAAAAGTCTCTGAGGATAGACAGATATGCCCAAAGGGGAGGGTGAGTAGAGCAGGGCCCAGGGAAATCATTCAAGAGTGTTGTCCAATTCAGGGGTTATAAAGGGCAGAGAGTGACGGAGGGGTGCAGGCTGACAAGCCACAGAAAGGCTAGTTCTATGTATGGAAGACCTGAGCCAATGCAGGACCAACCAGAGAGGAAAATCTTTAGTTTCTAGAGAAATGGGACTTCTGTCTGTTTTGTTCACTGACGTCTTCCCAGTGCTGGGTCATAGTTGGCCCCAGTACATGATTTTTGATATATTACTTGAAGGAATGGCAGTTGAGTTGTCCCATTCAGACTCACAGAATTCATTACTAGACTGCTGTACTCAGATTATCCACGGGGTACTATTGCAACACCTGCCTGCAGGGGTGAGAGCCCTCCAGGACTGTCAATTGGGTTTTCTTTTCAGACCCCTTGAATTCATTACTAGGGTGCTGTTCTCAGAATTCACACAAGGGGGTGCTATTGGGCCCAATCTTTTATTAGTGTGCTGTTTCAGAATGATCACAAGAGGCCAGTATTGGGACTAATCTATTACTAGGGGGCTATTCTCAGAATGTCCACAAGAGGGGAGATTAAAAATTGTGGCAGAATAAATGGATACTATTCAGACATGCTCCTAGGACCAAACTGGAATTACAACTAAAATACACACACACACACACACACACACACACACACACACACACACACCACCATCCTGAATAATCAACTGAAGACTAGCTGGAGATAACCCTGATAACCAAGGATGGAAAGTGGAGACCGCACAGAGACTGGTAGGAAGGGTGGAAGTGCAAAAGGTCTGGCCAGGCTCCCGCAGACAGCAGCTGACTTCCAGAGAGATATCTCAGTGGTGGGATGTTACCATGCGACTTTAGGCTCTAATCCCCAAGCTGGCCCCCCAGCAAAGAGCACCAGAAGTGGGAAAGGTGCCCACATAACATCTGGCTTTGAAAACCAGCAGGGTTTCTGTCAGGGAGAGATGGCTGGAAATGCAGGCACCCTCTTAAAGGGCCAACACACAGAATTTCATGTCTTAGCCATTCAACTTGTGCTCTGGCAGAGGGCAATATTGCAACACTTCCTTGCAGGTGAGAGTCCTTTATCAATAGGGTGCTGTTCTCAGAATGTCAACAAGAGAGCACCATTGTAACATCTCCCTGCAGGACAAGAGCCTCTAGGTCAGTGGTGCCAACCGGGGTTCATGGACCACTGGTGGTCCATGAGGTTTGAAACATTGGCAACCACTGCTCTAGGGTGCTGTTCTCAGAATGTCCATAAGAGGGCACTATTGCAACCCTTCCCTGCAGTGGGAGAGTTCTCTAGATCTATCAACTGGGTTTTCTTTTCAAACTGGCAGAATTCCTTACTAGGATGCTGTTCTCAGAATGTCCACCAGAGGACACCATTGCAACATCTCCCTACAGGGAGAGAGCCCTCAAGGTCTATCAGTATAATGCTGTTCACCCTAGCCAGTTTGGCCCAAAGAATAGAGTGTTGGCCTGTGGACTGAAGGGTCTTGGGTTTGATTCCGGTCAAGGGCATATGCCTGGGTTATGGGCTCAATCCCCAGTAGGGGACATGCACCAGGTGACAAGATGTCTCGCTTTTGGCGGGACAGTCCCGATTTTTAACAATTTGTCCCGTGTCCCACAGCGTTTTTAAAAAGTCCCGATTTTTGGAAAGATTCTTTTAAATCTTTTGGATTTTTTTAAAATGCTGCAGGATGCGGGACAAATTGTTAAAAATCGGGACTGTCCTACCAAAAGTGGGATGTCTGAGTATTGGCAAGGTTGCGGAGAAAAAGGCACCCTCGTGCACTGCTGGTGGGAATGCAGACTGGTGCAACCACTGTGGAAAACAGTATGGAGCTTCCTCAAAAACCTGAAAATGGAACTCCCATTTGACCCAGTAATCCCACTCCTAGGAATATATCCCAAGAAACTAGAAACACCAATCAGAAAGGATATATGTACCCCTATGTTCATAGCAGCACAATTTACAATAGCTAGAATCTGGAAACAGCCTAGGTGCCCGTCAGCAGATGATTGGATCCAAAAACTTTGGTACATCTACACAATGGAATATTATGCTGCCATAAAAAAGAAGAAATTCTCATCGTTTGCAGCAACCTGGATGGAATTGGAGAACATCATGCTGAGTGAAATAAGCCAATCAATGAAAGAGAAACACCACATGACCTCACTCATTTATGGATATTAAAGAACATTATAAACTGATGAACCAAAAGATAGATACAGAGACAGTAAAGCAACAAGCAGACTGTCAAATTACAGTGGGGAGAGGAGGGAGATCTGGGGGAGATAAAAGGTCCACCGAAGGACTTATATACATGCATATAAGTACATCCAATGGACACAAAACTCTGGGGAAGGAGGACATGTATGGTAGGGGGGGGCAGTGATATATGTACAAAGATAATAATTTAATTTAAAAAAAAAAAAAAAGAGGGAAAGAATACTCCCCTGTCCATATGTCTAGGTTGCTGTGGGATTGCAAAGTGATGGTGAGAAAGCCTGTCCTAAATTGTCGCCCACATGTTCGTGAGAGGGTCCCCTAAGAGCTTTTTCAGAAGGATTAGGGCATGGCCTGTATTGTGGAGACTTCTGGGAAGTAGTTATTGGGGAGTTGTCTAAAGGGCAGGTCTTTGCAACCTGAACTGTGAGCTCTAGTAACTGCCTGTAGGAGCCCAGTGGTTCAGAACAATGTTGAATGTTTCACAACCTGCAGGGGGCAGGGTCGAGGGTGGGGGGTATGTGCAGCCTAGATTTTAGCCTTTGCCAATTACCCAGGTCCATTCTCTCGCTAAGCCCTCTTACAAGCTGCCAGTGTATCACACTATGTAGTGAAATAATTAGGGATTGATGAGTTGTACGTATTTAGACTTTTGTGTTTCATGTATTTTATTTAATTAAAAGTGTCTATAACTTTAATTTTGATAATGACTATATTAAACAACTGGCTTGCAAAAGAAAAGTCACTGAAAGACCTAATAATGGGCTGTCATTGGCCGTACTCGCTGGCCCAGAGCACCCCGGGGCCCCGCACGGCTGATCGCATCAAAGTCACTTTTCCATCCCATGGAGGACAGCACATTCACACTGCCCTCACCGTCTTCGGTCAGCCGGGGGCGGTGTGTTGGCAGGGTGAGTATTTGGTTCCAGCTGTTT